TTGCTGAGGCTAAAAAGCTCAAAGCCACAGGATGAGCTGACACCCACAAAAACCTCTCTCAGCTGGGATTTTAAGTTCAAAACAGTAAAGCATCAAAGTTCACCTGATTGTGGTCCACATGTTGAATCCGTCCAGTGGTTTTTTTCCCTCCAGCCACACCAACAAGGGTTGGCAGCCAATCAGAGATATCCAACTCCCCGGATCCCTCCTTCCCACAGAGGACATCTTCCTCCCTCGCAGCGGCCAGTTGTCTCACCTCCGTTATCTGTCCAACAACCACAGGGGACAAAATGTTATCACACAAGGAGATGAAATACAAATGCATATAAAATAGACAGAACATTTTGCATCAATATCAGTGAGTCGTCTTGGAAACTTTGAAATGCAATGGGCTCAATTCAGCTAGATTTCCTCTTTTCCTTATTTGCTTGCTTTCTGTGCCTTGTTTTTTGCATTTAATTGTTGTAATTGAAACTATATCTGGTGTGCAGTCTTGGACAGTTCTCCCTCAGAAAAGACATGTTGGGAATTCCAATCAGTAAATATATGAACAAAATGCTTAAAGGCAACATATGGGGAGGTGTGAGTGTACTGAACTGAACTAGAAACAAAGCCTTTGCTAAAATGTACAGTATATATTTCCATGGACTGTGGTTTTCAGGTTTTTACTTTTAAGTTAGGAGTAGTCTGTAGAAACACTGATTTGAATATGAGTTTATCTTTGGACAAATATGGAATCTCTACTCATCAGTGTGATTATAAAGTATCCTTAATGACCCAACATACTGCAAAAAAAAAGGGTGAAGAAAGCTGTAATTGCTTTGAAAAACCCATTACAGAGAAGTGATGACTAAAACGATATGGATACCTGTTTTGATACCAGCTCAACAGAAATTGAAGTTCTAGGCACCAGATATTGGGAAATTTCTTGTTTTCAAAAATTGCACGCAAACTTCTGCACACAAAAAACATTGACAATGTTTTGGTAGCAAAATGTTTCCAATGTTGTTGCCTCCCCTACGCACCTGTCGCATGAAAAAGATGTTGTTTTTAAAGTTGTATTACTTCTTGATACTATCTATAATTAAAATAACAGAGATTGCGTCTTTTAAAACACATCGATATCATTGCTTCCCTCTCCCAGCAACATTATCCAGTTTATCCCAGGGGCTCCAAAGGCGTTTCCAGGCCAGGAGGGATATATAATCCCTCCAGCGAGCTCTGGGTCCACCCATGGGTTTCCTTTCCTCCCAGTTGGACGTGCCCAAAAGACCTCCAGAGGAAGGCGCCCGGGAGGCATCCTGATCAGATGTCCAAACCTCCTCAACTGGCTCCTTTTCGATGTGAAGGAGCAGCGGCTCTGCTCCGAGCTCCCTATGGATGTCCGAGCTCCTGACCCTACCTCTAAGGCTGAGCCCTGCCACCCTTAGGAGGAAACTCATCTCGGGCCGTTTGCATCTGCGATCTCACTCTTTTGGTCACTATCCAAAGCTCACGACCATAGGTGAGGGTTGGAACTTCATCATGACGGTCCGGTCACAGTGCTTTGCAAAACTGCTGACACTGCACCAATTTGCAACTCCAACCAACTCCCCCTGTCAATCGTGCAATTCCATTTTTACACAAGACCCTGAGATACTTGAACTCCTTCGCTTGAAGAAGCAATCCATTATTTTCTGCCAGAAAAACAGAAAGAATGACTTAATGCCAATTATAAATATTATAAAGGCATTAGAGGCAATTTCAACAAGAATAATCCCTATGGGGTCACATTAGATGAAGTAGTTGTTGGTAAGTTTGAGTTTGGACCGGCTTGGTGGACGAAGCCATGTTGACATCCACAGAACGAAGCCAAGACCTAATCATCGTCTGTTAGATGAATACTCACTTTTCCAACTATTTCACAACTGCATACACACAGGCAGTTGCAGCGGCTGTCATCATACCAATAGGTCTCTCCAGTGCAAACACATTTCACCAATCACATCCAGGCAGGTCTCTCCTTTCAAAAAGTAGAGCGTCATACAAGTCCAGGAAGTATAGACTGTTGGCGATTCCTGAACTGTTCTGGAAGAACCCGTCTGCATCCTTAATGCCTTTTCAAGCTGCTCTGGCTCTCTACAGAGCATCTCTCTCTCTTTCCCAGTTTTCCCCCTCTGAAGCTTTTCAGCTCATTTACTCTTACAGTAAAGCGGTTTGTTTGTACAACATTTCATCACAGAGGAATCTCAAGGCTAAGGTTAATTTATTTCCTGGTAGGACTGACAAATGTGGGTCAGTGACAACTGTTTGAACATGACAAATATAAGCTTGCTGGTACTACTTTTTTTGTTAAGTAATTTCCAGGCAGAAGTCAAATATGGCAGAGCATCATCCTGGCACCAAGGCAGAAACAGTTTTGAGCCCCCCCCCCCCTTAGGTTTGGGTTCAGCAGAGTAAGTGTCTGCCTGGCATATGGCTGACTGCACCCCTTTAAGTCAGAGCCAACCAAATGTGTTGGAAGAACAATGAAACAGGCCACCTACTCTTGCATTTAAAAAACCTTGCGCTTTACTTTCACAGCATTGTTCCTGTCTTCTAATTACCCTTTTAAAAAACCCACTAAAAATAACCCTCAAAGGAGTTACCTACTTCAGATGCAATTCATTAAAAGTTGCACATGTGGAAACATGAGAGCAGGCAGATGTTGAGATGAGGCTTCAGACCCTCTTTTTGACGTTCCTCATGGGAAGGTCTATTTACTGTGGATGATTTTAAAATATTAATATGAAAGGAGGAGCCAACCAAAAATTTTCTTCAACTCCATCTCATCGTCTGTTAATATTAACATGTTTTTGATAGAGATCCTGACCCAATAGAGAACTAACGTTAACACTGCCCTCTACTGGACATCAAGTGTAGTACAGAAGCAATGTTAATGTAATAAGGGCCAATGTATTAAGCAGTTTAATTTGGTTCATTATTATCTGGATCTATAAACCCCATGTTCTGCCATCAAGTATAAAGCTAACTGTACCATGAGAATTGTTTTATTAATTGCTTTGGAAATATTAATGCATTAGCCAGATTCATGGAATAACACTTTTTTAGATGTTGTGATATCTTACTGAAAAGAAATCAAAAGCTTTGTTGTGATCAGCCCTGTGATTGACTGGCGACCAGTCCAGGGTTTAACCCCGCCTCTCGCCCAATGACAGTTGGGATCGGCTCCAGCACCCCACGACCCAAAGGGAAAGGCGATATAGATGATGGATGGATGGAAAAATTGTGATCAGCAGAAGAATCCTACTGATTTGCAGATCCTCTGGCATTTCCGATATCGCCATAAAAAGTTTGAACTTTTGGCTTTGAGTTAAACGTCTTGAATACTTTTGGATGGATTGGCATTCAGTTTGCTTCAGATATTCGTGGTTACCAGAAGCTGTATCCTTATAACTGTGGTGATCCTCTGAATGATTCTGCAATGGTTGGTTAGAGAAGAGGCTTTGCACCCTTCAAGAGTTTCCAAATGTATCATTTAGAGATCAATTTATGTTTTGGAGCTTGAAGATTAACGTTTATGTATTAACTTTGAATTTGTAACAAGTGTCAAATCAATAATGTTGGTCTTGACTGTTTGAGTGTTTTTAATACTTGTTTTTTTTTCTGTGTTTAGTGGGAGAGCGCCGTTTTGTTTTATCTGGATAGTTTTGTGTTTGAACTTTTTGTTTATGTGCAGGGGATATCATCATCGAAATAAAGTTCTCCTGAAAACTAAAATAAATCAACTGAGAATAACTTTTTTGAATGTATGCTAACATGGGTGTTCTCTGAAGATCTTATTTTTTACCCTCAGTCTCACTTTTCATTTGTCCAATAGTTTGGTTTACTGACATTCAGTCAGTTGTGATCACAGTCAACTTTGATGAGTTGCAGGAGGATGGATATTAACCATTAATGCTGTGTATAATCTCCCCTCTAGTGCCACCTTGTGGTCAGAATGTCCCCATTTCCCTGTCAAACAGAATCTTAAACAACACACATTATTACACTTAAAAAGAAAGGAGACGTACCGCTGTCATCACGCACAGACACACACATATACTCCGAAATAAAAATGGAAAGAGGAAAACACAAAAGATATATAATGAAAAATGTGTGTTTTGGTGAAATTCATAAGCTATAATGTATCAACCAGTTACACAAGAAAGGTTTTCCTGAGCTCTCAAAATCTCAAGAAAATGTTTCTTCTCGAGCTGAATGACACTGAAGCTTTTCTTGATATGCATATGCAACTGCCTTGACACCAATAAAGCCTTCAGTGGTGTGAGTGAGCAGTAAGTAGGCTACATGGCTGACTAAGTGTGTGTGAGTAAATGAGGGTTTTTGTTTTTTATATTTTTTGGGCAAGCTGTCAGATTTCTCCCCTTTCCAAGCTCCAGGTTCATCACATTCCTGGCTGCACTGGTCAGTTTGATTTTAATGTGTTTTCACAGAGAGACACAATCCTGTTTGGAATACCTGCCTCACTTCACTCTGAGACTCTCCGATGTCCCACAATCAAAACATGTGAGGTTATCACACTTTCACACTGTCATATCTTTCAGGGTCGTCACACTTCAGGCACACTGCACAGCTCTGTCACAGCTGAAAAAACAAAATGTAAAAGGTGATGTCACAGCCGGTGAATTACAGTGTTGATTCAGCAGGGACAAACCAGAGCTGGAGCGTGTTTGTCACTCTGCGAGTCAGTCTTCACAGGGCCGGGTCAGAGCGCAAGATTAAGTGTTAAAGGGTATGAGAAGTCCAAAAGTGGTCTCAGAAACCATTTTGGCAATTAAAGGACAAAATCAGCAGAGAAGATTTGCCTCCCTTTGTCCACAGGGGGCATCAAAAGTGACACAAACCACTTTAACTCAAACTATCTATTGTTGATATTAAAACATGATGTATCACGTCTCTAAATTTCAAAATGCCTCTACATCACATCCCGTAAAAGTAACTTCAAAATGACACAATAGCCTTGTATAAAAAAAGTTGTAATTTCTCTGCAGCTTTGCGTCTGAAACACAGGGAGCCTGCTGTATCTCCACAGATAGATAAATGAAGTGCAAATACCTGAAACAGCAGGAAGATGTTCTTTACAAATCAGCAACGTGTGTAGCTAACAGAGCTTTAAAACACAGATCAATGACAGAGACAGCATCGGTCTGTCATGACTCATTTTCTCCACCGGCTGCTGAAAATATATTAAAAATAAAAAAAATCAAGCTGATCACGTATTTAAATAAAACAAATATATTCTCTACAAATCTGCACGGTTTAATTTAGATACGAGCTGCTTTTGATTTCTTTCTTCTTTAATAATCAACGAGCAGAATCTGAAAACTGGATTTTTTTTTTTCTAGATAGAAGAGATGATGTTGTAAACACTGTAAAACGTCTTTATTGTTATTGTGATCTAAGCCCAGGGTCCCCAGGCTCCATCAGGGCCCGGGTCACATTTAGGGTCAGGGTCAGGGTAGTTTATCGGCACGGCACTTTTCTGGTAGTGTGTAAGCCGGTCGAGGAGAGACTCCACTACTGAAGGGTACAGAGCGGACACTTCATTTCTCTCCTCAGGATCATCTTCAATGTTGAAGAGCATCACGGGCTTCAGAGGCTCATCGGAGGAGGAGTCCCGATAGAAGCTGTTATTCTCCGGTCGAGGGAACCAGACGTCACAACCTGGAGGAAAGTATTCATATTTTAAATACAAAACCTCTCACTTTTAACCGATCTCCATAGTGTGCGCATGGATAAATCAACCCAAGCAGTGAATCTACTTTTACAGAATTTTATTGGCTAAAATAAGCGTCAGTCATCAGCACAGTAGAGGTGCAATGACGGGCCAGCTGGTGATTTTTATGAGACAAATTTTAACCTGTTCGGCCACTCCACTCATATGTCAAATTCTATGCCAAATCTCAGACTCTCACACACCAGATCTAAAAAAAAAAAAAAATCAGAATCGGCCAAATAAATTGTAGCTAGTGCATCTCCCTGTAATTATATTTCACTGTAATCTGTAATTTCACTGAAATAAAGGATCTGAATACTCCTTCCATCCTTGATTAAATGAGATAAGAAGTGTGCTTGATTACTTTAGTCTTCCCAATTAGCCTGAACATGTTGTTACCGGTGATAATGGAGATACTGACCTGGGTATCCAGTCAGCAGCTTCCACTCTGAGTGTCGAATGGCTGCATGAATGGACACATTGAACCCAGACTTCCAGGTCCAGGGGTTTTTGTTGTACTCCTGATCCAAAGTAAACCGACTCTTTGTGCCCGGACCTGCAGAGAGCAGCGAGAACAGCGCTGATCATGGAGCTCATCCATCTTTTTTTTTTTTTGTGTGTTAAAACTGCTGATTATGTCGATATTAAACGACCGCTGGATAAAAAAGACGCCCCTCTGTGGACGACTATGTAAACCATATGAGAGAAAAAGACTGGCTCCAAATATCACTGCATACCTGGGATTCACAGCCGGTATCAAGTGTAGGCGTGAAAATAAACACAAGAAAGAGCTCCTTTTGTGCTGTAAGAACTGAACTGTCCAAAACAATCCTTCACTTTAAAAAAAAAACAAAAAACAGAAATTGTTGTTTGAAGAAATTTACACAAACTCAGGAACTTTTCGAGGGGAAAGAATTCGTCAAATATGGTGGAAATGAGGCCGTGTTGTGAGCCACTCTGTCTTCTGTTTCTCTAAATATAACAAATACATTTGGCATCTTTGCAGCTGGTTCCTCATTGGTAACATTCAGCAAATAAGGAACAATCGTTAAATCAACCATTAGACATCATTTTATTGAATAAAAGTTAACGATTCAACCTGATCATTGACTGGATATTAATATGGACAGCATGCCTCTGTCTCCTTCAGATGTACAAAAGTGAAGCCACAATGTAACCGGCAACAGTGTTCACATACTGTGCTGGTGATGTCATTTGGAGTCACAACATGCGCACAAGTGATCTAGCTGGTGGAACAGATGAATTGACGAAAAGCCCCTTCAGCTAATTAGAGCACACAAGATTAAACAAACAGATTATTTTGTCAGTTTGAGGAAGACACGCTTATGGAACTTATAGACTGCTGGTAACATCCTGATCAACAGGGTTTTGAAATCCCTACCCTGACAGTTCAGGTTTCATTTGACACACAGTCCATCTTTATGTACAGTCAATGGTCTAAATGCAATATTTAAACCCTGCTGTGTTGTGTCTTCACCTTATAGTATGTGTCCTCACAGTTTCCCCCAGCTATTTATCAGACCTTTTACTACCTTACAAACCCACACGCACATTGAGATCCTCTGGCAGAGGTCTCCTGGTGGTTCCAAATGCAAAATTAAAAACAAAATGGGATAGAGCATTTTCCGTGAAGGCTCCAAGACTATGGAATGACCTGCCCGAGGAGATCAGGTCGGCAGAATCAGTCATCATTTTTAAGTCCCTTCTTAAAAAACACTTTTTCCGGCGAGCCTTTCCTGATTTTTGTTGATTTTAAACTGTTACTATTTTCACTTTTTAGAATTCCTTTAAAAGAATTGTATGTATTTTACAGTTCTTTCAAAAGGGATTTTATATTTCAAAGTGATTTTTATTCCTTAATCTTGCCTTGTTTATTATTTTATGACCTGCCTGTTTTTATATTTGCTGTCCTTGTAAAGCACTTTGTAACTTGTTTTTGAAAAGTGCTCTTTAAATAATGATTACTATTATTATTATTAAAAAAACAGACCTCTTTACATACACTGTAATATGTACTTACATGGAGCAGTATCAACATATAGAGGGTCGATGTTGTGCAGCAGCTCCAGTCTGGGTGAGGCGAACCCTTTGCTGGAAGATAAGAGGAGGTTTGACTTTTTAACATATTGAAACACACACACAAACAAACACACATGCACACACACACACACACGCACACTGGGATGTCTGACTCATGCACTGTAAAATCCACTGGGCTCTGTAAATCTAAAGCAGCTGGCCGTCGTTCACCAGGCAGTCATATGCTCTGACCGCACTCCACCACAGAGAAAACACACTGCTCTCTCTGACCACAGCGTCTGATAACACAACTTAAAATAACTCTCACTCTCTCATGCCGGCCTACTGTTTTAAATATTCATTTTGGTTTTTTAAAAGTCGCAGGTCGAGCCCCTCAACAGCCCTGCTAACTAGTTGTTCTTGTGAATATAAATCCAGCTATATAGCATCAAAGTTCACCTGATTGTATTCCACATGTTGAATCCGTCCAGTGGTTTTGTGCTATTGGTTTTCCATCCAGCCGCACCGACAAGGGTTGGCAGCCAATCAGAGATGTGAATGAGCTCTTTGCTGACGGTTCCGGGTCGTTCCAGAAGCGGGCTGGCGACAAATCCAACTCCCCGGATACCTCCTTCCCACAGCGACATCTTCCTCCCTCGCAGTGGCCAGTTGCTGCCGCCCGATAACGTCTGGCCTCCGTTATCTTTTCCAACAACCACAGGGGACAAAAATGTTATCACACGAGGAGAGAAAATACCGTCTGTATGTCTGTTTCATGTGCCTCTCTCTTGACCTTGCTTTGTAATTACAAGTCTGTTAGATAGTGTAAAAATAAATACTTATTTTCACTTCACAGTCACTCATTCTAAGTTTGATGTCTACTCAGAAGGGTTAAAAAAAAAATCAATGAATCAAACGTACCAGCTGAAAACACCAGGATGGTGTTCTCCCAGAGTCCTTCCTGCTTCAGAGCCCGAGTGATGTTGCCCACCGCTTCGTCCATGGCCGACACCATGCCAGCATACTTCCTGCGGTTGAGGTCGTGGATGAAGTCGTACGGGGCCATGTAGTGGTCGGGCACCTGCAGGGGTGCATGGACTGCTTGGAACGCGAGGTAGAGGAAGAGCGGCTGAAAGAGAAAAAGGGGGAACATGTGAGGACCTCTTTCTTGACTTGTGGCAGAACTAACTATCAAAGATAGATTTTCTACTATTCACTTAGCAGACGCTTTTATCCAAAGTGACGTACATCAGAGAGTAAGAACAACACAAGCAAGGATCTAGAAAAAAAGGAACAATGTCAGTAAGAGCAAACGATCAGCTTTGAGTCTGATTGGACACACAGGTGCTGACAGGAAGTGACCAGAGGCAAAGCACAACATTGAGGGCAGTTCTTGAGAGCTCTAATCAGTATAGAAACCATCTTATAAGTCATCGTGATCTTCCTATTATGTCTAAAGTTGCAGAGAAATGGGCGGCTAAGCAAATTATACATCACCTGAACAACAGCTCTTATCACCTGCATCCAGTGCAGTTTGGATTCAGATCCAACCACTCAACAGAGACAGCTAATTGCTTCTTCATTGAAAAAATCAAATCACTGCTAGATAACCGTGGCATTGTTGGTGCTGTCTTTCTGGATCTCAGAAAAGCATTTGACACTGTAAATCACAGGGTTCTTCTATCTAAGTTATCCACCTTTAATTTCTCTGCTGATGCACTTAAATGGGTAGAATCATATCTGTCCAACCGCTCTCAAAGTGTGCGAATACTTAATTATCAATCTGACGCCCTCTGCTTGTCCACGGGCGTTCCGCAGGGCTCTATACTGGGCCCACTTTTATTCTGCCTGTATGTAAATGACCTGCCATCTGTTTGTCCTGAGGTTAACATTCAAATGTATGCTGACGATACAGTTTTGTATGTGCATGGTTTAACAAAAGCAGAAATTGCTTCAAAACTAACAACTGCAATGGTCAAAATTACAGCATGGCTTAATCAGTGCTGTCTCCAACTTAACGTGTCTAAAACTGTTGGTATGTTCTTCACTAAAACAAATGACTCAAACCAGATATCCGATCCAGATATACTTGTGTCAGGAGAAAAACTACAGATTGTAAAAGAATTCAAATACCTTGGCATTATACTTGACTCCAACCTGAACTTTAAAGCACATGTAAAAAAAAGTCTGTAAACAAATTAAATATAACCTTGCCAACTTCAGATTTATCAGAAACTCCATGTCTACTGAAGCAGCCAACATGTACATGCATTCAATGATTTTCTCATATATGACCTACTGTTTGACAAGCTGGTCTCAGGCAAGTCACACCACATTAAAACCACTACAGTCTTTGTATAAACAGACAATAAAAGTTTTAGACAAAAAACCAAAGCAATTCCACCACTGTTCAATCCTCAAAAAATACAACCTCCTGAGCTGGGAGAACATGATTAAACACAAAAATGCATGCCTCCTTTATAAAATCACACATGGTTTGGCCCCTGCCCCACTCAGAGAGTTTGTAAGCATACGAACAAACACACATCACTTCACGAGGGGTGTCTCAAGAGGCGACTGCATTATTCCTCTAAGGAAGTGTGTTTTTAGTCAGTCGGCCTTTTCTGTTCCAGCCTCACGTGAATGGAACAACATCCCAACAGTTATCAGAGAGAGCAACACATATCGTTCATTTGGTTCACATCTGAAACACTGGCTATTTGATAACCACATCTGCCAGCACTAAACCTGTTCCGCTCGCTGCTGCCCCCTTGTGTCTGGTTGTTGATGAATGTGTCCCGTTTTTTAAATGAATGTGGCCTGCGTGTTAGTTGTCTGTTGAGGTGAGCTTCAGGTATAGCTCACTCAATGTTTTTTATGAGGCCTTGTGTAATTTGTAATTTGTACGTGTTTATTGTATATTGTGTTACATGTTGTTTTGTTGTGTGCACGTTACAGTTACTTTAGTAGGTTATTGGATACGTGCTTTTACTAATACTTGTTTTTGTAGCTTTTAGCAATGTTTGAAATTTGTTTTGTTTTTTTTAGGGAGCCTTTTATAAAATCTGGCCAGGGACAACAGATGAAAATTAGCCTTTTGGCTAACTCTGGCATATTTACAAAAATGTTTATTAATATGCAATGTCCCTGTAAAATAAAAACTAAATAAATAAAACAAAAACCATCATCATTACCATCATCATCATCAATAATATGGAGACCATCATCATTAAGTTAGTAGGTATTCATGAAAGAGCTGGGTCTTTATCTTTTTCTTAAAGGTGCAGAGATTTTCACATTATTAAAGTTCATCACATGACACTGTGTGTGAGTGTGTGTGTGTATCTTTCACCTTGTTAGGGTTGTGCTTCTCGATGACGTTGATGGCCTTCTTGCTGAACAGCTCAGTAGAATAGACTCCTTCATATCCCGTAGCGACCTCTTCACCGTCCCGCAGGTCCAACGCACATCGATTCAGGTCCAGAGGAGGGATGTTCGAACAGCGGACATGAGTGTTGTAGTCCTCGCTGCCCATCAAATAACCTGAAGGGGAACAGAGGAGAGAGTGGGCATTTGAGCTCCTGTGAGAAACCTTCAGTTTGTGTTGGATGTTGGCACCCCCTTGTGGACAACATCAGGATATGTCTGATGTCTTGTACTGTACATGTGTAGGTAGTCTTCCAACACAAAGAAAGTACAATCCTTCTTTCCTTTGCCCATGGCAACGATAAAAGTGATTAAAAATCTCGGAAAAGGGCCAAAAAAAGAAAGAGAGCACCTACATAAAATTGGGTGCCTCTGACTTCTATTTTGTTGCCATGGTAACGAAAAAGGTAGTGATATTGTTTGTATTGAAGTTTAAAAAAAATCAGGTATTGTGACAACCCTAGAAGGCATTAACCTGAATCTACATGTGCAACGTTAGAAATAAACAACATTCCTGAACATAGCACGGACACATCAGAGGATTTATTCAAAATTAAATATATACCAAAATATGTGTCGAAGCCCCTCCGTGTGGGCAGGCAGTCCTTCTTGTACATGCCCAGGTGCCACTTGCCCACCATGTGTGTGGCGTAGCCCGCCTCCTTCATCAGCTGAGGCAACAACTTCTCATCCAGAGGGACGCAGTACGGCTGACACGGCCAGATGATCTGGTGCTGCATGCCTGTGTGGATCTGACGAGGAATAAAAAAACACAAATCTTTAGGAGATAAAAGCAAATAATAAAAAGAACAAAAAAGGAGTATGATGATATGATGTGTCGCTGGTTCTGCAAAAGTTCTAAAGTTAACGTCTTGGAATAAAACTTTTCAACCTTTGGTCTACTTTCCGCTACACTTTTTCCCCCTACAAAGTTATTTCCAAACATGAAGATGTTCAATCCCAGAGTCATGACCTGGTTAAATATTAAACAGGAACCCTTAAACAAACATTTCAAGTATTTTTACCAAAGTAATCATCAAATATCAAACACACAGAATGCTGTGAGCAGACAGGATAACACACTCCCACCATTATTTTCTGTGCAAGCTGATATGGTGCATATGGTGTCGGATACATCGGAACAACGAGTTTCTGAGTTGTAAAATGTACACGAACACCTGCTCAAGTCGGAACAACAACTCGGGAAACTCGGAAAAGAATCAGGTGCCCGACTTGCCGACTTGACGTCAGAATCGTCATCACATGGGGAATCTTTGCCCCAACAGACACTGAAAAGAGATTATCCACATTGACCTAGAACCTTTTATTTTGAAGGGGGCACATGAGCCAACTGCGCTGAAAAGAGGAAGTATTCAGTTATTTGTGAAACTTATTCTAAAGCAAAAACTTCACAAGAAGCGACACCTTCCTCATTTCAGCAGAGTCGACTGACTCATGTCCTGATAAAAATACCCTTTAAAATCACATTTATGCATAAAATTATCACTTTATAATTGTAGAATTAACAACTTAGTTATCTTATTGTATTTAAAAAAAAAAAAAGTATTATATGGCCCCAATGATCCACCGTAGTAATGTTTAGGTGCTAGCCAATAAAGAATAGATTGATTAACAACAGATACAGTAAATGTACTGTCAAGGGAATAACTAGTATGATAAGTTCTTCAGTACAGTACTTCCTGTCAGCAGGGATGTAGATCCAGTGGTGTAGTGCAGGGTGAACGCAGCTATATGGAGTATTGATTGATTAAATTCATTTCAGACATATCAAATAAAATCAAACACATCAAAAATACAAAACAAAATGAAAAGCACGAAAATACAATAAACAAAAAACAATGTTCAAATTATTTCACAAAGAAAAAAGAAAAAGAAAAAGCAAATTACATATATTCAATTGCTATGCCTGAAAAGGAGTAGGAAGAAGTATAAAACTTATTTAATCCTACCACTTTTCCACATCTCAATAATTAATATTTATTAAATGAAATTAACTTCCTGTGTTCCTTATAAGCTCTCTATATATACAATCAATCTATTTACAATTTGATATACTATATTTATGATACTATATTTGATATTTACAATCCAGTGATTTTCCATACATATATACAACTTGATATACTATGATTTTTATAATTTATATATTTATACAATCCATATATCTATAGATCCATATCTATTGGTACAACTTGATATACTATGATTTTTATAATTTATATATTTATACAATCCATATATATATATACATATCTATTGGTACAATTTGATATACTATGATTTTTTTATAATTTATATATTTATATAATCTATATATCTATACAGTTTGGTACAGTATGTTTACAATTATACATTTAATACAATATATATCTATATATATATATATAGATATATATACACAATTTGATATACAGTTTATATATAAAACCACATATTTTGTCAGTCTAGCCACTTAAAAAACATCATTGAATAATAAAGAGTACACCCACTTCTGACGTCAGTGCTCTCACCTGGTACCTGCCGGTCAGGAGCTGGTTCCTGGAGGGGGTACATATAGGCTGCACGTAGTAGTTCTCCAGCCGGACTCCTCCTGCTGACAGAGAGTCCAGGTTCGGAGTCCTGATCTCGGATTTGTGGTAACCCACATCAAACCAGCCGAAGTCATCCGCCAACACGAACACGATGTTCGGCTGCTTGGCCGCAAAAACTCCGGAGACACTTCGAAGAAACACCGCGAGAACCAGAAAACACCGCGTTTCATCCATCTTGACTTTTTATTGTTATAAACTCAGTTTCTATCTCTAAGTAAACAACCTAAACAACAGTCCGTCAGAGAGGGCGTCACCGGTAAAACAAAGACAAACATAACTGAGAAGCGGCCGAACAAACCGGTAGTTCTGCCGACATGTTTCAGAGTTTCAATATAAAACATTAGCGTTTACAACCGTTACTAACCGAGCTGTCACTTCCGCGTTTAAAAACACTGCCTCAGCCGCGACAGCCAATCAGATGTCTGGAAAAACCAGCGAATCACGTGAAAGTATAGAAGCCTAAAACGACTATTAAAAAAAAAAAAACATTACGATCTGTTGCAGATATTTAATTGTGGTTAAAATTCGTTTTGGTATAGTTTACTACTGTTGTTGTTTATTTAATTATTCTACACGTTTTCTTTATTTAGAATAGATATTTGGGTAATGTTTTCTTTTGCTAGTTATTTGTTTAGTAAATTTCAAGATTCAAGATTGTTATTTGTCACATGCTCATACGGATGTGCAGTGAAATGTAAAGACTGTTCCGCAAGGCCATGCAATAACAATCCTAATGCTAATACATATATATATACAGTAAAATAGAATATAATGTAAAATTAAAAAATATATATATTTGAATATACAAAATATAGAAAAATGTAAACAGTGTAAAGTGTCAGTGTGGAAAAATTTAGTTTTGTATTAGTATTTTTGTTAACACTGTGGGCACCAGAGGTTATTTAAGTAAGAGGCAGGTAGAGGACCAGCATGCACCTGGGTGGGCCTTTTGTTTTTTTTTACCAGAGCAGAAGAGGCAGCAGGAGCCACGATTCTCTTTGTTCTTTTGTTTGCTTTCTTCAAATAAACCACTAAAAAAAAACGCAGATCTCTTGCATGGACATTGGATTTCTTTTGCCTGCGTAAATCACATCCCCATGGTGCATCAGTGGTCATTTGATTATGTTTGATATTAGTTTATTTAGATTTATTTTGTTTGTTTTTGGATAAATAGCCACAGCACAATCCAATAAATAATCCTCCTGCTACCTTCAATAAACTGAAAAGAGTTAGATGATTGGTTCATTGGCTCAGTAGGTGATGAAACAAATCATTGTAAATTACTTTGATGACATTATTGAAAAAAAGTTTAAATGAAGTCGGCTTCTATACAAATATTTACTTCATCCTTCCCTAAATTTAAAACCCAATGAATCTGTTTGTAAGTCAGCAAAGGTAATGAAATCAGCCTGATTGTACCTGTAAACACTACTGGAGGTTCATGCAAAAACTAAGAATGACAACACAAGTAAAAGTTGGGTCAATAAATGAAAGCTGTACATCAAAAAGCTTCTTATGATTTATTTGTAATCACTTTCATCACAGTGCAAAAAAATACATTCACATTTAAAAAGAGCCCACTGGAGCCCAGTCAGTGCAAAAACAAGGCACACAGGATTAAAGCGTTTATTACATGTGAAACTTCCCTTAATGGATCCCCAACAACGGAAAAAAAAAAACAACACATCTCAGAAGTATCAGCACTTTTTTTTTTCCCCAACTTCAACTTTTAAAAAAGGCTTCTTACAAATGTCACAATTAATACTCGGGGTTAAACTACCATAATAAACTACATCAGGATTAAAACTGTGGCACAATGTTGGAGCAATAATTACACACACCTGGTGGTGTCCAATGAAGAGATTATTCTTCTAAACTCTTTTCATTAAAAAAGTGCTGCAGAGATTTTAAAAAACAAATATGAGCACAAATTTAAAGATATTTAAGAAAACAGAGCTGCGTTCTCCAAAGGTTCAGCTGCAAGAAATAGTTACACAAGCTCAGGAAATTTTAACCAAATTCAGGTGAAAATAGAGATCCCAGTTAAGTTTAGTATTAGGACTGAAAAGAGTATGGGGAAAGCTGTGGGGGTTGGGGGGGGGGGGGGTAATTACTGTTAGATCCTATATTTTAAAATGTAAGATAAATATGAAATAACTCAAATTTCACATCAGATTATTCCTGTCAAAGTCCAAGAAACCAAACCAAGAAATACTCCCACACATACTGTAAGCCTCTGTATAAAAGTTTGAATTTTTGTTGTTACAGATCGATTTTTGCATGAATTTTAAAAAACACACACGCGGTATGTCGATGTGCGAGTGTGACTGTAGCTGCTAGGAGGTTTTAACAACCCTTAGAACAGCATCATGCTAGCCTTTTCCCTCAGTTCTCATGTTTCATACCTAACTCACAAATCTTCTGTGAGCTTTATGGAACGGAGCGATGGAATCTCATTTAAATCTCTGCAAAAACCCCACAACAGTTTATCTACTTATTGATAGATGATTGGAGCATTCCTTTGGTTGTATAAGAGCAAATAATGCCAGTTTTTGTTTTCATGTAACTGATATAAATGTTCTGATTCCCCTTAAAGGGATAGTTCTGTGTTTTTGAAGTGTCCGTCCGACTATCAGCCAATCAGAGAGGTTGGTCAGCTCGGCCCCTCTACTGAGACATCAGCAGGAATGCAGGCAGCGGGCTTGCTAGTAGAAAGCGCTGTGAATTCTTTCAACATTTACCCCTGATGTTTTTAAGATAGTTTTTCTCTTAAAATAAGCAAAATTTACGTCGAGCAAACCCGTCTGTAACACTGTACAGCCTAGCTTCCATGCCCGCACTCCTGCTGTTTCTCAATAGAGGAGCTGAACTGACCTACATCTCTGCTGCCTAATAAACCAACTATTGACAAGAACCTCATACGACCGACCACACTTCAAAAATACCAAACTATCCCTTCAACATTGTAAAAGAAGAAAAGTGTACAGTTCTATACAGTACAGAACGGTAGAAGTCCAGTCTGCGTGATATGAAATGGGAAAGTAGTTCAGCAGAAAATAATTACCTCAGAGATATTTGAGCACAGCTCAGGAAAATAGATCTATTTCACAGTAGATTTTTTCTTTTTGACTCGTCATAGGAGGAAGATGAACAGGTGTTACATATCAGGAAACAGTTTGACTGTTTTTTGGAAATACCCTGTGAGACACTCTCTTTCTGGTGGAGTGGAGGGAGGTGTGAGTCTGCTTTGGAGGAGACGAGATGTGACTTTCATGTTCGTTCATTTGATGACGATGTTTGGATAGGACGCAGCTTAAATATATGTATGATCTGTTTAGAGCATAAAAACAACTAAGATACATACTTCATGAGTTTTTGCTTCTTTTATAGTCAATTCTTTAGAGTGATCTTTCAACAAGAAGGGTAAAAAAAAAAAAACATTTGCATTTCCAATTCTAAATAAATCATATAAACAGTAATTATGCTGAGGTAACTATTGCATATTTAGGATAACCCAATCCTGGTTCTATCTTTGTGTTCATGGACAAAATAAGTGTTCACAATAGAGTAATTTCCAAAAATGTTAACTGTTCTTTTAAGTTCAATCGGCCCTTTAAGGCCAGTGTATTTATGATTATTCATGCTAATTTAAGCTAACTCCTCCTCCTAGCAAAGGTTACAAATTTAACAGACGGACATGAGAGTGGTATTTATCATCTCCTCAAATGAACAGCAAGAAAGCAAATGAGCATATTTCCTAAAGTGTCAAACGAGTGTCCTTCAACAATGACTTCTGTTCTGTTCAAGTGTCCCAGTAAACCCTGACGTTGTGACAGTGAGCCAGCATGCACAAGACCAGGACCCTGAAACTGAAGCAGCTCAACAGAACTCAGTCATCATCATCAATGTCATCTTTCATATCTTCACTTTAACCTTCTGAGACGAGTCTGAATGTGACAGTTATAAAACATCTGAATAAAAACAGTCCCCCCCCCGACTAGAATTAACTAGTCCTTTTTTTTTACTTGACATTACGGCAGCTGTCGCCCGCACAGGACTGCAGCTTAATGAGCCGCTGGTTCATGGCCTGCAGGACGGCGGGGTCCACCTTCTTCACGATGTTCTCCAGCTGGTGGGGGTCCGACGTCAGGTTATACACTTCTACAAACGACTGGAAGACACAAAGAAATGCACACTGAGCTTTTTAAAAAAAATCTGTTTTCACACCGACGAGTTACTCACACCTTGACAGACAAACTCAAAGTCGCACCTCGCTGTCTGCAAACTCGCAGTATTGAAGGTTTTGGTCTTTGTCGAGCGTCCTGACGCAGGCGTAGGTGTTGTTGTAGGCGTCCTCACACACGCAGTCGGGGAAACATTGCTGGAAGAAATCAGAAGTGGGTGAGTTTTTTATTTTTGCAAAACCTTTTAAACAGCATGTTGAAAAAATCTGGAGTATTTAGACCATTAAAGTGGCCAGCATCAGAGAGTTAGTACAACACAAGCCGTAGCCTAGTGGTTAGGTTGCGCCCCATATACGGAGGTTGTGGTACTTCAAGTGGTCGACCCGGGTTTGAATCCAACCTGTGGCTCCTTTCCTGCGTGTCATTCCCCCCTCTCTCTCCTATCTCTAAATAAAAAGGCCCAAAAAGCCCCAAAATAAACCTTTAAAAAAATAAAAATAAGGATCTAGAGAGGAGGAAGCAACTGCAGTAATTTAAAACAAACAGCTTTCACAAAGAACAAAGTCTGATCAGACACACAGGAGATGCCAAGTTCTTCCACCACCAGGGGGCGACAGAGGAGTCTATGTAGAGACTTCGGACCCTGTGTTGAAGGTTGGATCAGATGCATTTCTTTGGCAGAGTGCAGTGGGGCAGGAGGGAGTGTAGACCTGGATGAGAGCGATGTGCAGGTTTTTTTATTTTATTTGTATGTCGGTGTAACTTTTACGAGGTCGCGGGCGACACGCCCTGCTGACTGCAGAAGATCATTGGCGGTGCGTGTAGGCGCATGTGAGCTATAAAAGATCAAGGAATGCATTTCCCTCCCCAGAGGCTGATGTTTTGGATGTCTTCAAACATCAGTGTTGAAATGAAACATTTACACAAGTAGGACTTTTAAATACATGTAGCAAGTTTAGGATTTTTATTTTCAATAAATAAAACTTCCTAATATTCATCAGAGGCAAAAACTTTACTTTCTACCTCAGAATATATTTATTTAAAACTGTGTTTATTGATTTTTTTTCTGTGATTTTGTGTTCACAAGACTAAACTCTAATCTCTTCATCCTCGAGTTCAAGTGGACGTTTGTACCTTTAGGTGGGAAATATTCCTCAAGGCATTCCTTTGACATCCACAAGAACCAGAAAAAGAATAATGACCAGGAA